AAAGTACAGATAAACCTCTTGACCTAAGAGGTGATAAATAGCAGTTCATAATGCCAAAAGAGGTTTTATTTTAATTAATCCTTTAAATATTTGAACTTTTATACTATTTTATCAATTCAAGTGTAACACTAATTTTTAAATTCAGTTTCAAAATAAATACCTACCTGAAGTGAAACTCTGCTCCCTCCACTCTGCTTCATTCCTCAGAAAGCACAAGGTGCAACTCTGGTCATCTCCTGGTTTCCTTGCGGGGTGCCATAGGGTCTCAGACACCAACAGTGAGCATAGGTGAGGCCCTAGAAGTTGAAATGGAAAACATGCTCGTGGCCACAAAAACAAATTGCAGACCACTACTCTTACCATGTTATGGATTGCAAGGGCAGAACAAGCTTCATTCTCTCTCGTGAGAGATTCTGTAGTAGAAGCATCACTTGTTACATCAGAAGCCAAGACAGGCACCACCATTCATGATGAGAAGTTGGGAAACAGTCTCCACTTTTGTTTGGAAAACTACAGGAACGTGTTGTGGTCATACAATGCAATCACCTTCACTCCAACACTGCCTGGTACAACACTGACACCTTGCCCTCAACAGCCTCAATCTCTTGACTGAGACACCAAGCAAAAATAAAAAGGAGGATCTGTATTTAAGTACAGCAGAGTGAGGAGCTTTAGGAGCAATGTGCTCACTGAGAAGTGTGGTTTGAGTCCCACTGCTATTCCCAAATTCAGGTTGAATGTTCTTAATAGCTGCACTGAACCTGAAGATGCAGACCAGATCCAGAAGCTCAAGCATGAGAGGCAGCAGAGAGCAGTAATTCACACCCTGCTCAGGGAAAGGTGACTACCCCAAGAATGCAGACCTCAGACCCTCTGCCCAGCAGGGCATCTGTAAGTCAGTCAGTCTCCCAGGAAAAGTGCTAATTCCACCCCATTTACCTGCAGAAGAAGCAGAGTTTAAGAGGCACCCTGTTCTGAGACAGTCACAGGAGCAGCAGATCAGCACAAACACTGACAGAAGCGATTTTTTTTATTCCCCCCCCTCAAACAAGGTTACACCTCAGACAAGATCACCAAAGTACTTCAAAAGTTAAGCACTATCTGGGGCTACAAAGGGGAGACAGACTTAGGCAAGATGCTTACAAAGCATGGTCCCACCTCTGCACATACTATGGTCTCTTCCTATACAACCTAATGCACGCATCAGTAAACCACACAACCCTCTTGTTTTAACTTTTGCCATAGTGCTAGGTAAAAGCAACACTGAAGGAGATGAAGCAATTTGTTTTAACATAATCTGTACATGGCTTGTTCTGGCATATAGAAGACAAATTTACCTTTCCCCCCTTGACTACAAATTGCATTTGTTCCAATTTCTCATTTCATTTTCTGCAACACACATCCAGACCAGCATCTTCATCATGATGTTAGTTACCCTGGATGAGTACTTCCAGAAATTCACACTAGACTTCCCATCACCCAGAACAACCACCTGCTAACGTGACCACTTACATCTTTAACACATCAAATACTCCTCAGTGTAAACTTTATTTTACTGAGCTGGCATTTCTTTCACACAAAGCTCCATGCCCATATAGAGTCTGTACAATCCCCTTTACATATATACATTAAAGAAAGATGGAAAAGTTATACCATGCCAAGAAAACTGTCTTACAAGACAAGAGCCACTGCCTGTAGGGTATATTTAGAAACTGGGGGGACAAATTAGGAAGGTAGTCACACAACACAAGCCAGATGAGCAATGAGAAGCAGGGAGAGGGGAAGTTTCTTCCAGGTATTAAGCAATTCCAGACTGCATCAATAAACACCCAGGCTGACACCTCTTCTTTTCACCTCCCCAAGTAACAATACCTAACACTTACATAGCATTTTTCATTCACATCTCAAATAGCATCACAGGAAGGTATAAAGTACTACATTCAGCTTTCTCCTCTGCAAGCCCTTGTGCAAAGCTGAAGCCCAAGGTCAAGCAAAGGCAGCACTGGAAACCAACACAGGCGATAGGCCAACGTCACAGATGCTGAGTCCAGCCCCAGTGTCTTCTCTTTAACCCTGCAAGCTGTCTGTCAGCTTGGTGTGAGCAGCAGGAAGGCTTTTCCTGCTTTGTTCCTTGGTGGGAGCAGAGCTCCTGAAGGACTTGCCCACACCAAAGAGTAATCTCAAGCAGTGTCTCCACTTCAGCCCACAGACTTGCAGAACACCTGAGGCTGAAAGACCCCTCTACAGATCATCCCACCCAACATCTTGCTTAGAGTTATCCAGCTACCACAGCCTGCCCAACACCATGTCCAGTTGGGTTTTGAACATCTCCACAGATATACAACAGCCATCCCTGCCAACATTGGCAACTTGTGCCAGTGTTTGGTATGTTTGATCAAATTCAGTTTTTAAAGAAGCTTCCTTCTTTTTATGAGATGCATGTTGTGTTTCAGTTAGTACCTATTGCCTTTTGTGCTGGCACTGGGGACCTCAAAGCAGCTCGACTCCATTTTCCTTATTCCCATCAGGTATTTACCTGCACAAGATCCTTCAAAATTTCCCTTCTCCAGCTGAGGAATTCCAGCTCACAGCCCCTCCCTGCTCTCCAGCCCCAGCTGCTAATTTTCTATGGCCCTGAACTGGACTCACCAGCACTGATCAGAGAGAAAGTACCACCTCTCTCAACCTACTGAGAACTGATGATAACCCCCATGAGCTCGGCAGTTCAGCCAGTGTTTAGTCTACCTCCCTGCCCACCTATTTAGCCCATAACCCATCGGTGATGATTTTAAAGGCCTTGAAGAATTGCTGAAGTTGTAGTAAACAACACCTACTACTTTACCTTCAGCCACTAAGCAAACAGTCTCATGATAAACGACAACTCGATTGATCAAGCATTTCTCCATGCTAATTCCAAGTACTTTGAATCAGGACACACTTGCTAAACTTACCTGCTGCAGCACTTTCCCTGGAATCAAGGCAAGTTTGACTACCTGCTGATGTGTGGATTCCTCCTGAACATAGAAATGATGTTTGCTTTTCCAGTCTTCAGAAAATTTTTCCAATAGCCGTCTGCTTTTAAAAGGTATTCAAGAGTGGCTTCATACTAACATCAAAGGCAGGCTAGATACGTCTAGACAGTTTGGGGAATGCAATAGTGCAGCCTAACCTTCTGCCTTTGACAGAACAATCTGCTCAAGTAGCTTAGATTTGTTTCTCAACACTCTTTAAACATCTAAGATCTGTTACAACTGTATGACTTACTCCTAAATAATTTAAGTCTTGCAGTACAGTTATTACCAGTTACACAAAAAAAGGGAAGCAGAGATGCACTCAGTTGGTAAGGAGTTACAGATCAGAGCACTGACAGCAGAACCAGCATCTCCCTTCATCACAGGGCCAAACCATCCCATCTCAGGTGCTCTTGATGCAAGGACTGCAACATTAACACATTCAATTGGTTGCAGATACTACTGTCAACCAAGTCTTACTGGCTAGGAAAACACCACTTGTTCCTCCCACCCAAGTCTTAGAGGGCAGCTGCTGTGCTGTAGCATGACTTGGTCAACAGCAAAGCCTAGATTGCACCACCCCAAAAACCAAGCCATGAAATCTGTTGGTGTTCCCAACTCATCTAGCTCAATAGGTGGGCTGGATTTAAAACAAAGACTCAAAGGTGTATAACTAGACAGTTAGATTTTCTGTGGTTAATTTATAAAAGAAGGTAAAAATAAAGCTTCCAGAAGTGTGAAGGTTGTCACTAGAATATTTTTATCTGAAATGAGTCACAAACCCTGAGAAGTAGGACTTTCCCCTAATAGCACTGCAAAAATTAGAAGAAACCACAACAGAAAACAATGTTAAAGGCAAAAACTACACAGAGATTAATCAAGACACTTGTTCTCATCATGTCAGAAGCAAGAAGTTCTTTTCACATACAGGCATCTTAATGCTAAGAAGAGTAAATAAAACCCATCAATTCAACTCAAAAAAAGAAGAGGGAAGTTGCTAGGGCAGGAGAAGCCTATAGGTATTTGTCTGTACTGGTCTGTCTGTAACAGAAAGGTTATTACAGCAGCTTTCATAACCAAAGGCTGAATTTGAAGCTGAATAGCAGGAAGGGGGGAAATGTGAAATCTGGACTCTGCCTAGAAGGAAAATAAAACCTGAGAACAGGAAAGGACAGAGCTTCAACTTGTGCTGTTGCTCTGATCGACTATGAACTACAGGCATACTGAATATCTCCACACATCTGCAGTAAAAAGCAGAAGACAAGATTCAAAGTACAATAGCAATTAGCATTTGTGGAACACAGGTCCTAAGAAACAATTGTTGATTTGTGTCAACCCTGTAGAGATTTCCCCCTGAAGAAACCCACTCTGAAAAGATTTTCTTCTGACAAAGTCTTTTTTTGTGAGAAAGTTTAATATTGAAATATATGACAACAATATAAAGAATTCAGATTAAAGTTTGTTTTGGTTTGTTTTTTTTTTTACATGGAGTCAGAGTATACAATCAAAGAAAGCTCCGCCATCAAATTGGTAAGGATAGAAGCACGTTAAAGGTTGATTAAAGTGCAGTTACACATTGATTCTAAGACCTCCATTTCTTTTCCTGCATGTGTGCAGTTGTTACCCATATGGTTCAACAGCACTGGTACAACCCACTCAGAAGCCAGGTTCTGCCTGAGTGCCAGATCTCTGTGGCTGAGAGCCCATTGCCAATGTTTTCACTACAGTAAGACTGTAAGAGCTATGTCCAAGTCAGTGAGATTGAGATGGCTTGTGGGACCATCATGAGAAGAATTTAATCATCTGCCTTGGAAATATGTTTACAATCCAGTACTGCAGTCTATACTACACATTTGAGATGTTTTTTTTTAAATAAGGGTGTTGATATTTATAGAATTCCAACAGTTCAGACAGTGCACAATATGCAATTATCACTATAAATACAGTAGTGGGACAGAATTTTCAGCTACTTCTTGTTTTGTTGTTGTGTTTTTTTTTTTATACACCACAGATGAAATGTATGGCACAAATTCTAATTTAAGAAACCAGAGGACAGAACATAACATTAAACAGCAACAAGAGTCATGTTTAGGTGGTAGCAGTCTAGCCCTCCATTCCACCAAAGAAAACCATAATCCCTGAGAAGGTAACTCAGCTCTGACATTTAACCATGACTAAAAGACACAAAGCAAAATACTTTGAAGTGGAAGACTTGATAACAGATTATTTTCATGACATGTTTTCAGTGTCAGTGTGACAAACTAACACTTGCACAAGAAGGATTCTAACAAACAAATGCACAATTTAATCAAGAGAACTTGTTCCTAAACCTTGGCTGATGGTTTGGTTTTCTTTTCTGCCAGCGTTCACAACAGTTCATGTGTGTACAGCCACACAGAAGAATGAGTATGCACAAATCCATGAAAAGTCATTAGATACTGTACAAACATCCACCAATAGGCCAAGGAAGACATTTCTCCAGATAGCAAACTAAAATGCCCAAAGAACACTGAAGACAGAGAAACAACCATCTCTTAGCAACCTTTCTAGTCAACCTCATATTCTTAGTACCAGGAGTTTGCTTCAAGAGTTAAACCTGACAGGTAATGCCTATGACAATTAAGGTCTAATGTGTAACAATGGCTACCTGAGGTCAAACAGGCCTAGCACTGATACAAGCAGTAGTTACTGACACTGACATTTTAAAAAAAAAAATCCTTCTTGCATCAGTGCGCTCTCTCATTTCTATTTCTCTGCTCAGTTCAATTAGATACTCGTGGTACAAGCAGTGCTTTTAGAGCCAAGCCAGTTATTTCTCCCACTTGGATTTTTTTTTTTCCATTTATACTTCAGACCACTAACAGCTGAAAGAAATGTAATGAATAATCATTTAAGAAAAACATTCAGATAACTCCAGAAGCTCAGATACTCATATACACTCTAGGCCATGATTTCACATGAAAAGGATCCACCATACTCCAGCACTATTTGGCTGTGGCAATGGACTGACACCATCCATAACAAAGTAAAACATTAGAGATCTGAAGCTCAAAACCAGGGATGCACACCTTCTCTAGGACAGATCACACCCTGTGCCACTGCTGTATTTCAGCCATGGGGAAATGACTCAACACGGATGCTGTTTTCACAAGGAAGCAGTCACCTCAGGCAGAGCAGAACAGAAACATGGTTTTAACCGTTCTCATTACATACTTTAATGATTTTGTAATAATTATGTCTTCCAAAAAAGAAAAATGGATGTCAGGTAGAAAAGCTGAGCCTTTATCATCTTCAGACACCTTCTTCACAGTGAATTACTGGGGCTTCCCATACCTCCTCATCCGCTGAGTGATGCATCTGTGATACCTGATATATGGGTGCTTCCTCACCATGGGCTATTAATAACACATCTTTTTCTTTTCCTGCTAACTGAAGGTCAGAGCTACAAGAACAGCGAGATCCATCGAGCTTGTCTGTCAAAGTCTCTGCTGTAGTTTTAGAGGCCTGTCCAGTCTCTGTTTTAGCTTCTGTTTCTGCTTTCAAATGAAGTCCAAACACATCATTTCGTACAATGTATCGAACACACTGCAAAATCACATTCCTTTCATGTCGGATGTCCTGGGCCAGTAACTGCAAAGAAAGAAAAGAAAGTGATGCATATTTCCCTCCGCTGGCCTGCAGTTGACATATGCCTACAAAGATGTATGGATAAGAACAGGTGGGACAGGCATCTGGCAAGGAGGCTACAAGGAGAGAGGTTCAGAAGGACCACAATTGGTATTTATACATTATCCATAAAATGGATGAATGCTCACATGCCCAAAACACATGTTTAAGCATCACTCATTTAGCACCATTAGTGTATTAAGACAGGTTGAACAAGCTGAAAAATCTGAGTAGCATTTATTTGGATTATGCTGTCAATCTCAGTTTGCTCAGGTGGCAGAGAACATCAATAATACACCTAAACACAGAATTTCCTCTTCAATCATCTTACAAGGTACATTCAAATGACTATGCTCTCATATAACTGACATGAGCTACCCAACACCCAAAATGAAGAACTCCAGGCTCTGGACAATACATCAGGATGGAAAGTCTATCAGCATTTTTTAAGCTTTGCAGGCTATACTGTATCTGTAATTTAATATCCCATGCATCTTTTATTAGAAAATATCTGAGTAAAAGATACTTATAAATACACAGAAAGGGCATGTTTCAACAGCTACTAGACTGTGGACTTAAATAGCAGCAACTATTTTGGGACATAATCCACTAACTTAAGTCTAACAACTTAATCAAAACGCTAGAGACCTTCCTCATTTCCTTCAGCCTACCTAAAGATCATTTGTGTGTTAAAAGCCAGAATGCTGAAGGAAAATTCTATCATTGTGAGCAAAGCTAATACTGTGAAAACACAAGTTTAAAGCAAGTAGCTAAATCTTTAACTACCTGACCATTTTCAGGAGTTCTGTATTACACATCCTAGCAAGATTTTGCTTGCAAAGCCACGGAGAAGCTTAGTATATCTAGCCAGCCACTTTAAAGTACACACATTTCTATTTAGACCATTTATTTAAGAGGTGCTGCATGCAGCTGGCACCAGCTGTTACCAGTACTGGCACCTTACATGAAGCTTCATAAACCTGTCTTAACCTGTAGATGCACAGTAGGGCAGAGAATGGACAGTACAATTATATTATTTTTGTAGGTGAGGAAGAAAATGCTGAATTTCCAAACAGCATAACAAAGGTACAGATGAGATGCATCATCCCTACCTATTTTTAAATGCAGTGATGGGTATCTCTGAAGCAACTTCTGTAGAGGCCTGTCAGCAAACAGCATTGCTAAGTGTATACTGTTTGCAAGGCTATGATAATCATGTGTAACAGTGCCTAAATTCACTGTCCAAGTGCCCCTCTTTCAAAAAAAAAATTATTTCATTCATGTAGCATCACTTTCTGAGCAAAGATTCTTCACTTTTTGGAAACATTTTCAGTGATTCACTAAGAAATATCACCCTTGGTTCCTTGAAGCTTCAAAAGCCTTCCTGCAAATCTCAAGCACTCCTCTGTAATTGACAGCCACAGTACACATCCTTTAAGAAATTTGAACATTAAAAGATAAAATGTACTTCTAAAAACAGACTATACTAGCAAGCTACAATTCAGGATCCCCATGTTCAGCCAGCATCTGTGCCATTTTTCTCTCAATATTCAGGACCTTCATATGACTTAGTCCAGAGTCTTTACTGCTTTGATCACCAACAACTCAGAATAGTAAGAGATAAAGACTACTGTGTGCTTAGGGAGCTATACAAATGAAGGACAAACACTTCCTTTTTCAGTCACTAGCAGCTTTATTTCTTGGCAGTAAACAGTAAACTATGTGCTACTAAGAGAACTATCAAGGGATTTCTCCCAGATCTGCTACTTGGGATGTAGATCACTGACTACCTCTTGCCTAGACATCCTGTGCTGTATCAGTCCTGATGCCAGTGGCACTCTGCTCTCTGCTTGTTCCTGAGCTGTGCCCAGTTTTGCTTTGGCAGGAAAACTGTGTAACCTACCTCATCTTGCCCCCTCCAAGCTAATATTGCTTTAGAGAACTAAAAGTGATAAGAGCACTAGCCAAGTTTTGTCTACACTGAAGAAAACCAATTTCATAGAGAGTACTTCAGGTTGTTGTTCAGAACAGAACTGTGACACATTACACTGATACCTGCAAACCTCTTTCTGATCCCTCTGACACCAACATGCTCTTCAACATGACCTGCAGTCACTTCCTCAGATTCGTTTAAACATTCCTACAGAGAAGAACCCCATGCATGTGCAGGTTGCAGTCCAACAGCACTCAATAGACCAACTCAAGACACCAACACCCTTATTAACAAGAGCTTCGCAGCTGAAAAAACTACCTCCTCCTCAATCAGTCAGCTGAATAACAAAGCTGAGTGGAAAGAGAGGAGGATCAGCATAAATCTGATGGGATTACATACAGAATATTAACACAGGAAGGAGAGAGGGAAAAATAAAGGTTTTGGTTTTTGTGCAGCTCGTTTCAAGCACACAATTAAGTTGTCTTCTGCTCATCAAGATTAGTTGTTACCTGAATGCACGCCAGGATATTTTCCTATGTCTATTTCAGCATCTATGCTTTGAGTGAAACACTTACTTGCTATTTTAAGACCTGGCCTTTGCTTCAGCTAGACTTCTCTAACTTCCTGAGGGGTGAGGAGAACTGCTCACAGGTTGTGCTGCTCTTATACAGCAGACATCACTGTAACAATGAAGCTTACCATTTCCAGCAGAGTTGGACGACGCTTTGGAAGGAGAGGTAATGTTCTCCTTGCCCTTTTATCAGGGACTCTGGGAGCACCTGCATTTGAGTTTGAGCTTCTTAGCATTGTGTCTGTTGATTCTGGAAGCTCCTGATTCAGCTTTGGATTCTGAGGAACATCAGGACTCTGAGGTGTATTTCTGAACGCTGCTTCGTTTTCCTCAGCTTTTGTTGCAATCTTGACAGAGACTTCTAAAAAACAAAAGCAAAAAAACACACCAACACTTTTCTCCCAGACTCAAAGGCCTCTAACATGCTTATATTCCCATGCACTGGCACTTTTTGAGTATTCTTTCTACATAACCTGAAGAAGTACACACTTCACTTGGAAGAAGGCAGGCTTTTGTTTGGGGTTTTGGATTTCTGTTGTTTTGTGAGTGGGTTTTTATTTAAAAATAAAAAGTTATCTCTAAGCAGTCATGGAACAGTAAGTGAGACAGTTACTGTTTTTCAGTACCACAGAGGGGTAGGTTTTGTTCTATTGTGTTTAAGGAGTTGAACAAGATTTTCAAGTCTCTGCCTTATGTTCACTTAGAAAGCACACTCCTTCTGCATCACAGTATAACTTGATGCAAGTTTGGCTTTTGAGAAAAATCACTACAGAGGGCAGAGCATGGCTAAGTTCAGTCCCATCTCCTAGCTACTCTCCAACTTTAAGTAAGCCACCCGGGACAAGTAAGGCATTGTAATTAACTGCAAACAAGCAGCTGCAGTTCTCTGCTATACACTGATGCATATGCTCAAAGCAGCACAACATCCAAACACTGCAGAGTTCAAGTCTCACTGCAAAACTCAGCAGCCTTCTGTGGAAAAAGCCTTTAAGGACATGGAAATCAGTTCATGGGGTGATCACAACAGTGTTTTCCTGGCTCTGTTCAAAATTGAAGACAGGCTACTTTCCCCACCCCCCAGAACTGCATGGCTATAAGAAGCCTGGAAAATTTGACAATACACACCCTAACCAAAGAAATGTTATGTTCACCCTTCATCTATAGTCATGGTGCTGAGAAAAGGCAAACAAAGGGTGGAAAGAAATCCACCCAATCTTTCAGGAAACATTGTATGAGATGTTCTAAAATATGCTATAGGCTTAGAAAAAGACGAGGCACAGCCCTGGTGGATAAGGTCATTGCAGCGCACCAGATGACTGCACAAATGCTATACTCTGCCTGGGTACATTCCCAATATCAGCAGTTATCACTATATAGGGAGCTTACAGAAAAAACCCATTTAGTGCTCCAATTGGGAGAAGGAAAGAATGAGGAAACAGACTACAGCTAAAGTAATGACATACGCTTTTACTCCTCCTTGACTTTCTGCACAACTTACACCTGTACTAGCATGCAATGTCCCCAAAAGCAGACTGGAGAGGTTCTCTGCACAGACTGCAAAAATATTCCCATGTTTAACCTTTAAAAAGATTCTCTCTGTTAGAGTAAGCCACAAAAAAAAAAAAGGACAAATATAAGACAGCTCTGAATTACAGCACTGGCAGAGAGGCCCCAGATCAAGAGGCAGTTCCATAGCCAAGAGTCTTGGAGATATAACCTCTGAACTGGCATTATACCTTATACATAATCTTGGCTAATCAGTACACGTTGCATTTCATTCTGATTTCTCTAAAAGCTTCTTTAAGAAATTTTAAGTACTATGTAGGTTGACAGACACTGAAAGCTGCAGCTTTCAGCAATTCAGGGATGCAACCAAAGAATGCTACCACAGGGCTACCACACTTGTAAGGGCTGTATCTCCAAATAAATGGAGTGCAGCAGTAGAAAAGGGATCAAATGCATGAGAAGCGAAGCCTCCCATGACTCAGAAAGAAAATATTTCCAAATAAAACACAGCAGCACTGGGAAGGAAGAGGTAGGGAGAACAGAGGAAGAGCATCTACGCACCTTCAGGCTCACTCTCAGAGGCACTCCCATAGTTAGCTGACAGTGAACTCAAGGCTGAGGTGACCTGTTTGGGAACAACAGTCATCTCCAGCTTCGCATCTTCAGTTTCTGCTTCATCCTTGTCAGACTCTGCAGGGGAAGAAAAGGTAAGAGGGATTTTTCCTCACACTCCCTGTATGAACAGCCAGCATTGTTAAATCCTCATACGATCATTATGCAAAGCTAGTGTTAGGCACCATTGCTCAATACCATGGATTGATAACAAGCATATCCACCTAGCCAACACAGATATTTGGAGGACAAGCTGTCTCACCTCTGGTTTACAAAGTTATGGAAACAATAGTTTCACTTCCCAAACAACAGCATGGGGTTTCTTCGTATATTAAATATAATTATAGGTTTTATTTCAAGAACACGTAAGGAGAAAAAAAGATTTCATAATGTGTTTTGAGGTTTTGCTGGATTTAGTCCTGTAGAGGCAAGGGGTGGGGAAGAAGGATTTAAAAAACAGTAATTTAAACATGCAAATTGGCCTCAGAGTGAGGATTTAAAAAACAGAAATTCTTGGATAGGAAAAAAGTTCACCGGGGACATTTAGGACATAGGCTACATATTAGACAATCTGTTTTCAGCAGGACTTCAGATCATTTAATATTAAAATCCTCACAGAGCATTATGGATATGCACGAGTGAGGTATTGCAGTCTAAAAATCACTCCAAAAAAAGAATACTAGGAACACAGAAAATGGACAAGCGATACAAAAATGCTGAAATTGACAATACTTTGACAACGGGGGACATACCCAGAGCAGCCTTCCTAAATATATATACACAAATGTATGTAATTATGATGGCTTTTGTTGAATGCAAAGGATCTATATGCATTAATACCTTGGAAAGACTCTGATAGTGCTGAACCACAAACATTGAGAAATGAGACTCTTTGGGCTAAAAGAAATAGACTGGTTGCAGTCTTGTTTTTACAAAGAATATTGCATCCTCACATATCCCAGCTGTTGAAGCTTGAATATTACACTCCACAGGAGAGTGGTGCAATACTCTGTAATAAACAGTTTTGAGATCTTCCCTTTTAAACCATAAATGCTTTACTATTTTGTTTTAATATCTCAGTAACAATTGAGCTTCAGTGAAATGAACTGACACGTTATCTGGTAGAACTTTGATAAATACACAGGCATCGATTTAAACTATTATCTGCTTCTTTACCTTATAGTCCTTTATGAGGGGTTGACTCACTGGTTCTGCAGTCACAACTTGCAATTACACTGGAAGTTCGTGGAGAACACAGTGCATTTTCCTAGCAGAATATATTTCATATGGCATACTTAAGCAAGTATAAAGCTCTGGCATTTACTCCAAGTTATTCTGATAGTTTCGATTCCTAGTTGCTCTTTACTTTTATCACACTCAGACTGTTGAGTGAGTACAGGAGTCACATACGTTTTTTATACTTCAAGTTTCCTAAAGAGCATCTGGCCACAAAACTGGAAATGAGTTTCTGAATATGCAAAGAAGCTGTTATAAACTGCTAAAATTAAACTTTATAGAATCATAGATTCCTTAGAGTTGGAAGGGACCTCTGAAGGCCAGAGTCCAACTCCCCTGCAGTGAACAGGGATACCAAAACTTAACTTTTTAGCAAATTCAGAAAACACTATCAAATAGAAAGTGTATTAATGTAAAACAATTTGAGGAAGTATGCAGCAGTGCATAACACAATTGCCTGCTTCTGATCAGAATTTGCTCAGGAATTTTAGATCTGGCAACTTTATCTTGTTTCTGTTTATAAATGAAGAGGAAAACTGTTTTCCTCATCTCTCATTGAATGTCTTAGCTCTGAAGGAACAAGCTACTGAAAAGAACTTCAGTGAATGCATTATGCACAAACACACTGCCTCTAGAGAAAGGGCTGTCACTGTTTGAAAGGTTTAAATACTCCAACAAAACGTTTCTATACAGCAAAGCCATGGACTTCAGATGTAGGACTTTGAAAGAAATGTTTGTTCTACTTCACTATGGAAAAATGAACTGGATTTATTACATATTATTAACTACTGCATTCTTTTTTACCTGTTGTAACAGAAGTCACTAGTTGTACTCACATACAATTCAAATTCCTATCATTAAGTAAAGCACAGATGCTGTGAGGAAATGCAGCTATATTTAATCACACTTAGTTTCCCAACACACAGATGAGTGGAATAAACAAATTGCATAGGGATGCAGAGTTCTTGTTCCCACTAATTGAAGATTATGTCTTCAAGAGGAGAAACTCAACATCAGAAGCCTTTCCAGGGGTTGTATTTTAGCTTTGCTGCTAAAAAAAAAAAAGCTAGAGTATAAGTCAACTTACGTGCCATATTCTAAGAGCACTACATCACTGCTGACTATATTATAAATAGTTCTATCAGTACAGTTTATATTGCTGCCAGCACAGGGAAAACAAAACATGCTCACAAAAAAGCCTAAGCACTAAGACTTCAGGAAACACACACATATGGAGAGCATCAACAGCAAGTTGGATAATTTGGGAAAAATTTGAATTAAAAGAAAAATGCTTATATTTTCACGTCATTTAACTCATATAAAGAAATCCATTGTTTTCACATTCTAAATATTATTTGCAAAACACTAAAACATATTAAACATCCTTCAAAAATAATTCTTTTGTTGCAATACTTTATTCTTTTGGCTTTGTAAATATTTTCTTACTTTGTGTGTTAATGCAGTAACCTAATTTGATGCATGTGCTTTAGTCAGTTGCATAATACTGACAGCAGAATAAATATCACTGCACACAAACTTGTTGGCAGCACTTCCATAAACCCTAGCTAACAGGTAAAACTTTCATTACCTTAACTCAAAACTCAGATGCTATTCTTCTCCCTTTCCCCTACCATTCTGCCAAGACCACTAGGCTCCTCCTCCCCTCTGAAATGCAGGCAGCAAGCCTCCTAGCCACCATCATCACCTTCCCTGAATACTGCAACAAGAAGACAAAGTTGAATATGTGCCTCCTTACAAAAGTTAACTCAGTCCAAAGACTAGCAACACTAGATGCACAGCATGCATTTCCATGCATTGCCTTGCACCAAATACCTTTTTTTTTTTTTTAAATACCAATCTCTATGCTCTCCTTCCCAAGATTACTACAGCATCAGTTCCCTAGGGCTCAAATTACTTTTGATTACTTTTGCTACTGTTTTGGCAAAAAAAAGCATTCCTAACATATGGAGATTATAACCATAATAATCTTGTTCTGTCTAAGTACCTGTTAAAACAATGGAGCACCTCAATTTTGTTCTTTACGAGCCTAGAAACCCTCTTCAATTTGTTAACTAAATATTGGATTTAAAGCATCAAGTCAGTATCCACAATATTCTATGGAGATCTCTTAGAAGGTCATGTTCTGAATCAGGATACAGAAATTTCCATTTAAAAGGAAGTTCTAAATGCAAGGTTTAGACACAGGGATGTTGGACTACATTCAAAGTTACAGATTTGTGACCCTGTTGACCCTAGAACTATTCTAGCCATACTACCATGCTTCTTTGTTAATAACAATGAGTAGTATTATTGTCCCAGCATACTGGAAAAGCTTTCCATCAATTTTCTACTAAGAAAAAGCCTTCCATTATAAACATGTCTAATTAGGTCTCTTTTCATCAATGACAGTGTGGTGGGGTTTCTTTGTTGTTTGGTTATATTGAAATCCCCAGCTCTTCCCCAAAGCTGCTAGCTTCACAGAAGTTCAGTAATCAGCACTACTTAGAAGTTCCTCGACCTTTTTCATCTTACCAACATCACTGTTTGCCAGAAAACTGAGCGGGTCAACGTCCTTCATGCATGGCTGAGTCTCCAAAGCAGGCTGTTTTTCATGTTCTTTTTCACATGTACTGTTTCCTGGTCCATTAGCTTCATTTTGATTTCTTTGTGATGGTACATTACTATCACCACCATTTTTCTTAAATTTCTTCCAGAACTGACGCTTCTGTTTTCTCTTCTGCTTTCCTTGCTGCCCAGACCTCTCATCTTCTGTAGCTTTCCACATTCCCTTCATTTTGCTGGAGAAGAGAAACAGAGTTCACAGAATAACAGCCTAGGGAAGTAAAATCAATTGAAATCACTCAATAGCTCAGGTGCACACAAGGTGCAGCAACACAGTACCACACCAGGACTTGCTCCAGCTCAGCTAACATGTGGTAACAGACCACACATGCAGTCACAGTTCATCTCACTGGCAGGGCTACATGACAAGTCTGAAGTTGATGAATTTTATCTTTTAACAGGGCAAAGAGCTAAGCAAGCTCCTTAATCACCTACTGTGTGAAAGCAGTTTGCCCTCACATTACAAAAAAGTCAATAAATATTCCCTTCACTTAAGCAGTGAATTCATTCAGAACAGGTGGAGCATACATAGAAGGTAAGCATCTACTATCAGCACACTTTCACTACTGAAGTCTTTTTCCAGTTACAGCTCAGTGAATGATCAGATGCAATGACTGCCTGCTCTTCCCTCTAAGTGCTGCTCTTCTCTTTTACTCTGATGGAAAAGGAAGAAAGATTTCCACTGGGACAAAGCAAGTCAGTTACAAATGAGAGAGTTCTCTCATGAGAACAGTGGAAGGCTAGTTCTTCTAGCCTTCCAGATTATCCTATAAAGCATGTTTCTAGAAAGTATCTAGTCAGCCAAACAAACTCAGAATGTACAGATATGAGAATAGGTGTGAACCAATCAGAAAAACAAATACAAAACTGACAACCTAAGCCTCCGGAAAATATTTCTTTTCAAGCAACAGAAAGTTAATTCATCAACACAAGACTGCAAATAGTCACTACATTATAACAACAGAAGATCTGACAGTCTTGATCCAATCCCATGGTTCACTTGGCTCAGTACAGTCCCTCAGTCTCACTCACAGCACAGCAGAGATCCTGTTAGCCCTAGTCAGCTGTATGATACCATGCTTGGGCAAGAAATTCTTCCTGACACTTCTCAGGCCTTGAGCCACACACCTGCAAGGCTAGCTTCAAAGGTGTGTTTCTAACCTGGCACTACATCACTGGTAGGCAGCTAGCAGAACAGGTCTATTTTTTATGCCCCCTTTATCTCACAAGTAGACACATTTCTCATCTTCTTTCAGCATTGTGCCACCTAGACACCTTCTCCAACCGGAACAGCTCACTGAACACTGATGCTTTATGCAGTGCTGTGTAAACTTCTGCTTTACTCCACATCTTGCAGCAAGTTGTTAATGCTTTGTAGAGAAAGATTCCTTTGGTTTGTTCTCACTGTGAGAATAAAACAATTATCTGTTACCTTCATTTTTCCCCTCAAGTTACAAGAAACAGTGTATAGATATTCTAGTTACCTCTTCTCACACATACACATTTTTTCCTGTCACACAATCCTCCCAAACCACAGACCTTTGCCTGTACAAAAATGTTTACACTTCTAACTAACGTCCCCCTCTTTCACACTTCTCCAGTTTTAAGTTCCTCTTGAGGCAAGAGGTAGAGCATTCAAAATGGCTTTATATGATGCCAAAACATTCTTCAGCCATTTCTTGAGTGTCTAGCACTGAATGCTCAGACCTGATAAGCATCATTCACCATAGTTCTCGTGTGACAAGAGATACAAGCCACCACCTTCCTGTGCATCAGCCTCTTATCCATGAGGTAAGGCTACTGTCTCTTGTAACTCGCCTCGTATTAGGATTCCAAACTTCATTTCTGAATTTATACTAGGCTTTAAATTCAGGATGTTGTTGTATAACTTGGACAATAGCAAGTAAACATAAGCTGATACTGTCCTTGACCAGGGACAAAAACATTCTAGTTTCCACAGGGCCTCAAATACACAGAAAGAAACCCCAAGGTCACAAACACATCCCAGCAAGTGCCAGCCTGGCATCTGCCTTCCTCTACTGAAAGATAGTGTACTCTACACTTCCTGTTTAAAGAGGATAAAGAGCCATGTGCTATTAATTAGCTGTTGCAAGACACCACAGACTGCCCAAGTGGTCCTCTTGCCTCTCTAATCTCACACACAGGGATGCTGGGAATTAGCAGTTGTAAAGCACTTCAGAGAACCACAAATGGAAAGTGTTGTAGAAGTGTTAAGTATCTAATCCTTTCTAAATCTTACTTAGCTATTTGCTTTAATAGTACAGCTTGCAAAGAACAAGATGTATTCTATTTTAGCCTCATGCATCATTAAGTTTGCCAGATAAGCAACAATTTCAGAATCTTTACCGTTGATAAACCAAGCAGAAACGACAGTTTTTTGGACAGTAGAGTAAGCCTTTTGGGTACAAGTTCAGGGAAAAGTGGAAAAAAATGCAGAAAATTTCTAAAATTAATTAGAAATAAAGGTGACTAAGTGAAAGCAAACAGCAATCAACTAGCAGTTTTTAGGGCTTTTTTTTTCCCCCTTCCCTAACAGCTTTCCAGATAGTTACTAACATACCTAAAAGATTTCTGACTACATTTAAGATTGCATTTGGCATCTGACTCACAGTTCACTAGAACAGCCACGTGTTGCCAAATAAACCTGTAGACACCAAATAGCTTGTTATTCTGACAACCAAAACACATCTGCACATTTAAGACCCTCCAAATGCAACTCCACATTTGTAGCTTTGGTCCCTTGTGTGCGAAGTACATCTGCATCAGTCTTTTATAAGCCTTTCCTTCCTGAGGAATAAAAGGCAGCAAGCTGAAGGGGGCAGGGGAAGGGTGAGTAAACATTTGAACATCTGAAGCACACGATGTACCAAGGTAATCTGCACCACTACCATTTAACAAATTATACTAGCCTTGTCTGAACCTCATTCTCCACTGGTTCAACTGATTTACCATAGTTCAAGCTCTTTATTTTGTCATCCCCTTGAGTGGAGAGAAGTCAATCTCCAGCTTCACTTCCACATAGCAGGAAATTTAGCAAGAGTCTCTTAGAACTGGGTCTACTCCTGCCTTCTGGCTCAGTCATTCTAGCTTAAACAATGTTCTGAGGGTAGTGGATCATTTTCTGTAGAAGTCTTCCTGCAGGCCCAAAAGCAAAGCTAATGGAGTTGGCTATTTCCATAAAACACTGTGGAAAAAAAAAATTAAAAAGCTAACATGGAAAAAGTAATTCACAGTATGAGAGAATGAACAGAAAAATCCAAGAGGACCAAGAACAAATGTAGCAGATAGATAACGAAGATGGAGGGTAAAAGAAGCAACAATAGCACTATTTAAACTATAAAAACAAAGTTAAATCTTCCTCTGCTCTTCACTTGATCACTGATTTATCATCTGAAAGCAAAGAGTAAAAAGCCAAATCCACACAAAGTCTCTTGGCCATTTCCAGGCATAAGAGGATTAGACCACAGATTAATTATGTTGTGTGACTTCCATCCCCCTTATTTCTTTTTCAGAGACCAAGGTTATGGTGAACTAATGAACAGCCACTAGAATGTGCTTCTCAAATAAACCAGAGCGTAGAATTCAGCAAGAACATCATCAGGTTTCTAACACAATCACTGTTTAATTTAACTGAAGTGGACTATGAAGCACTGTAAACAAAGGAACATTACATCTGCCATTTGTCAAGTGACCTGTCCTCTGCTAAAGGCCAGCTAGATCATGTGCACAGTGGAAGCAGTAAGTGCTTGGAGATCACAGTAAGAAAGCATATGCCTGAACTCATTAAAAGGAAAGTAACGAGCTGATTTTAAAATTGCTTACCCAAACTGCGGGGTGGTGAGGACTTCTCCTCTTTCCTCCTTCTCCATCTGCATAACTTTCTTCTTCTCAATGTTTGCTAATGTAGGAAAATTTCTGGAAGAAAAAAATTCATATGCTCTTGAAACGTTCACTGTTCATTGGCCAATTCACCCTTTACCAAACCAACATTCTCTAGAAGCACAAGAGAGTTCCTAAATTTCATATAAGCATACCAGACTGCTTCCTTCTTAAAAAAGCACTGATGAAGAAAAGAAATCTGAGTATTTATGGTCACACACTCCCATGCAACAAAAATCCACTAAATTGGCACTATTAGATTTACCCAACCATCAGACAAGCTAAAGACTAACAGCTGAATCATGCTTCTGGACCCTCTGCCTGTCCCTAGATACCACAGCACATGATTCAGTCTTGCAATTTAATTACTTGGTGCTTTAACCAGAGTATTTAAGGATCCTGAGGTATATGCCTTTAGCAAACCAATGGCTCAACAGTTACATAAAATAGGGTTTTTAAGAACAGCTTCTGCATGCAAAAGATTCTCTTAATAATATAGTTAAGAGGGAAAAAAGCTTTCTCCTGCACAATATTCAGAATTGTGCTTGTATACTGAACTCTATTACACTAACTATTACCAGCTTTTTATTCCAGCTTCAAGAAAAATTGCTAAGTCATGCAGAACAAAACAAATCTACTATTACAGTCATCCACCAAACCAAACCATCTCTCTCTTCCCACTCTCCACTTCCCCCTCACCATTCTTCCCTGCAGATGAACACCATGCTAGTTCCAACTTGCAAGGCCTCCTGTAAATTGCTGTCAAAGCCCTAAAATGGCAACACTGGATGCTCTATAAACATTAGTTAGCCAGACCTCAGTGCTTTGAGATAAAGATGGCAAATGGCAAGTACTCCCACCCCTTTCCAGAAAGTATCACAAAACATAAATATTTGATGTCTATTAAAACAGACTAACAAGGAACTTAGAACAGCTACTCGCCATATACAGTTATCAAAAAGGACACATCTTTCTTTAAGTATTTAATCTTAACACATGCATCTTCCCTATTTCACAGTAAGAATAATAAGCTTCATGCTGACTCAAGACAGCTTCAACTACGTATCAAGGAAAAAAAGATAACAAGCATTTTCTAAGACACACCTAAACACATCACAGAACTTAAGAGGATTTGAGTATAGGCGATCAGAGTCTATTTTCATTGGATTTCTCCCAGAGACCCACCATACATAGCTGAAGCGAGCACAGGGATATTATATTTCATCTCCATTCTTCCCCACTACGTACATTTCTTTATCCATGTTATAAAGCTCCTAATATGCAGCAGGAATGGAATGAATTGCTTCACACTCAGAGACCCCTGTGCTTGATAGCCCCTCCATACTTCTAGGAGGAAACTTAGGATGCTTTCATGAGTAAGGCCCACAGAAGAAAAGAGTTATTTACAAGATAGTTACACAGAGGAGAACTCCAAGCTTCCCTTGGTCATTAAAAATAAGGACATAAGGTAAAACCCTTAACCCTGGAGCAAGAGTCTCCAAAGTGCTCTTGCAGTTATGCTGATTAAAGACACTCAGACATATACTCAACAACATGCTTTGAGACACGACTGCCTCCCACTTTCATTCCTACAAGTTACCACTCCCTCCACTGAGCCACTGTAATGGGTTCCATGAATGCTTTTAATTCAATTCAGTGCCAAAACAGGCACACTTTCGTTTAGAAAACCTTTTCAATTGACAGACAGAAACTAACAGCTGTAGAAAGCTCAGATCTGAAGTCCGAGTATTCCTGCAAAGGTACATCTTACAGCATCTGTAGCAACTGCTTACTCCAACTCTTCTTGACAAAGATAACAGGTAGCATTTCACTCATTACCTTTATCTTCTATAGAAAATGCACCTATTTTGACAGCACACATGCGTAGAGCATTTTATAATGATTAAAAAGGCCCCTACAGCTTATTTTGCAATCTAAGAATTTGGTGGGCAGTAAGCTCTAAACATTCAAGACTCTATTTGACAGATACATTGTAGACTGGGTTCACAGTTCCCCAGGTGCTCTGCTGTGCAACAAGGTTGAGCAACTGCCCGCTTCAGCAGGGACAGCCAGAGTAGGGTACCTGGGATCATGACCAGGAGGCTTTGGAAGATGTCCAAGGAAGAGACTGCACAGCCTCTGGGCAGCCTGTTACAGATACCATAGAATGGCTTGGGTTGGAAGGAACCTTGAAGATCATCTAGTTTCAAACTCCCTGTCAAAGACAGGTTTGCCAACCACTAAATTGGGCACTAAATCATGTTGGCCAAGGCCCCATACAACCTGGCCTTGAACAACCCCAGGGATGGGGCATTACAGCCCCAGTTCAAACCCAGCCCTCAGCACTGCTTGAGCACAAACAGGTCCGTGCAACTCCTGACAAATGCATTTTGGTTAAAGAAACACAAATCAGCCAGGCTGTCCTAGCCAAGATTGGTAACATCATGAGAATAAAAGATAATACCAACTTGGCTTTCCATAATTACTAAGAAATTCTACTGCTTGACCTGTATCATGAGTGATTGTCCACACAAGAATCCTCATTATATATTTATGCTTCACTAGTGCACAAAAACTGGATTCAGGGTTGTTCTGTTTGAACTGGGCAATAGGAGGGGCTTGCACATGTACTAACAAAACAGAGCATCAGCCAGATTTACCCATGGAAACAGCAAATTCCACCTAGTTCCAGAGTGGAGGCAGATGCCTATAGTGCAAACATTACATTATACCTTCAAGGTACAACTACACAAAAGAGACCCACACTTTGTAAACTTCACCACCTAAGAAAAGCTAACAAGATATTCAAGAGAAACCAGAAAGAAGATTTTTTTTTCCCACCTTTTTCTTTGATAGAAAATTCTTACTTAGAAAGGCCAAGTTTAGGAAGACAGCTTCTGAACGCAAGTGTGGCAATGCAGAATACAAAGAGCACATACGGAATCTTGACATATAAAGGGGTCACGTTTTATGATCTGATGTGCTGACCCAGGCTTGTATCCTTAGAAGATATGCCCTCCTCCATCAATAAAATGAGGTTCTTAAAACATTAGCTACGAGCTCCAATTAAGTAACAGAAGTAACCCAGCACTCAGGTCCTGTAAACAACTTGGCACAGCTTGACTACAAGTAGCCTTATCAGTCAGCACAGCGGCTTTAGTGAAGTTAGTGACTTCTTTTAAAAGCAGTGAAAGCAGGATGTGATGGACAGGCACAGTATCGCCCAAAGCAGCAGCCCCATTTTGTAACAATTCCAAATACATGGGTGTTACCCCCATGAGATGTTTTTCAGCATAAATTTTCAGGATAGCACTGTAAAACTGTAAGGTGAAGAGCGCATCTGCACTAACAAAATGATAGGCAGGTAGAAAATACTGTAAGTTTCCAGGAGCTGGAAATGGTGACATTAAGCATAATTACTAACTTGTGTGCCCCAGTAAACAGGTTATTTTTTTCCAACAAATGAGTGCTCTAGCCAAAATCATACATGCTTGATAGTCCAGTACACTACATCCTGCCCAAATAAACAAAGTAAATAGAGCACTTAGAAAGCACAAAGAGCTTTGTCAATGCCTAACTGAAAACAGAACTGTTTCTATAGCAGTTTACACAGCACATTTCTGGAGTCCAAAGCTACACAGATTTATCTTCACAGGAAAAGCACTGTGACTTACAGAGCTGGTCCTGACTGAGCACACAACCAACAGAGATGCATATAGCCCAAATGGGCCCACAGAGAGCTGATAAAATTCTGTTCTGAGACTCCCAGGCATTTTATCTAGCATTGCATCTGGGATGTCTCAGAACAGTGTGATTTCACCACATGTTATCTGAGGCAGTTTAATTAATTCCCAGTGCGTACCAGTAAGTTCCATCCCATTTATGTCCACCTTAAAACATTTAACCCACTTCACCTTTGTCTGCACTACTTGTACCAGGCACTAAGAAATTAATTTTCCTTTTTACCTATTTAACTATTGTGAATGAACCACCAGGGAAGATGCCAAGGGCTATCATTATCGACTAGGGGACTACAAATTAATAAAAAAGGTTTGGTCAACAGCACTAGTCTTCATTTATTAAATAGATGCTCAGCCTATCAAATATATTGCAAGGAAATACTGCAATCAAACCCTAACTGGACCAAAAAAATGAATGGGTTAAATAAAACAGGGTAGGCCAGAATTTAGAAGCAATACACAAGATCAAGAAAATCATCCAGTGTTATATCAAAACATAAGCAAAAATAAACTTAGGTATTTGCTTCAACATCAGAGCTGCCTCGGCATGTTTTCTAGTAACTTTTGCTCAGAAAGAGCTGGTTAGAAACAGATGGACAACTAGTACTCAGATTTCACTTGGAAAGAATGGAAGACAGCAATGCCACATTCTGTGCAGTAAGGAAATGCACTGTTGGTGATTCTCTTTAAACTTGTATTTAAAAAATGCTAGAATAGCACATTTCTCAACAGTTGGAATGGACAAGTCAAAACAAGAAAAGCAGTTGTAACCACCAAACTAAGGTCAGCCTTCACAACCATTTGTCTTCCAAACAAAGGAATCATAGAAAGGCTTGGGTTAGAAGGGACTCCAAAGATCATATATTTTCAACTCCCTGCTGCGGGCAGGGCTGCCAGCTGCTAGATCAGGCACTAGATCACAGTTCACAGAGCCCCCATCCAACCTGGCCTTGAACACCTCCAGGGATGGGCATCTACAGCCTCTTTGGGTAGGACATTCCAGCATCTTACTACCCTCTCTGTGAAAAACTTCCCCAACTTCTAATCTAAAATCTCCCCTCTTATAGTTTAAAGTCATTCCCCCTTGTCCTATCATTTTCTACCTGTGTAGAAAAGTCCATCTCCCTCCTGCTTATGAGCTCCCTTTAAGTACTGGAAGGCTGCAATGAAGTCTCCCCGAAGCTTTTTCTTCTCCAAGCTAAACAGGCCCAACTCCCTCAACTTTCATTCCCAGGAGAGGTGCTCCAGCCCCGTGATCATCTTCATGGCCCTCCTCTAAACCTGCTCTAACAACTCCACATCTCTTGGGCTGGGGATCTCAAGTACAAGACTCCAGATGGGGCCTCACAACATCATAGTAGACAGCAACAATCCCTTCCCTCTCCCTGCTGGCTATCCCTCTTCCGATGAAGCCCAGGATACTGTTAGGCTTCTGGGCTGCAAGTACAGACTGCTTGCTCATTTCAAGGTTTTCATCCAACATAACATCCAATTCCTTACCCGCAGCTCTGATCTCAACGAGTTCTTCCCCCAGTCTGTACTTGGGTTGAGGCAATCCCAAATACAAGTACATCACTTGGTTCTGTTGAACCTTATTAGATTTACATGAGCCCACCTTTCAAGTCATGGTCCCTTTGGACAACATCTCTTCCTTCTGCCGTATCAACTGCACCACTCAGCTTGGTGCTGTCTGCAAAGTTGCTGAAGGTACACTCGATTCTTACATCCCATAGAATTACATCCCTATCACTGCCTGCATTACTTCAGATTGCCTGCTTTCCGATTCACTAGATCAAAAAAACATTAAAAAGCCTTCAGACTGGCCTCTTTAGCAAATTCAGTAGGCCATAAGCAATTAAAAAGCCTTTAGGTGAAGAGATATGTGAAGGCTGCAACAAGAAGGGCACTGTATAGAAACTGGAAAAGCAAAACAGCATTCAGACGTGGCACACTTCCTGCAAAGATGTTCACTCATTGCCACTCCCCCCTCCCTCATCGCTGCACTTTAAAGACAGGCTTTAATAGATGATAGCAGGATACTCGACTAAACAACACAGCAGCTAATCATGGACACTGGAACCCTAAGTCATTATTTACAGCAGCTGAAAGAACAACCAAAACAAATGTCAGGTATGCAGTATGAAAATAAACACATTAAATCACCAGAAACTAATTAGAAACCAACTACTAATGACCTAAAAAGATTCATTCTTAGCTCTGATTAGAGCTTCCAGAAAGAAAAAAGCTTTTAGTTGTCACCATAAACCAAAACTCCCTAATAGTTCAGACTCCCTCGTGTCCTTTTTTCCCCTCTTTAAAATTGAGTGTTTACTGTGAGTCAGATCTTCAGTACTACACTGTTGCTTTGGTGAACACCCAATGAATGTTTTGCAGAAGCCTCAGATCGGGCTTTAGTTACTTTTATTAAGTTGTTTCTTTTGTTGTATTAAGTGCTAGTACAGCTATCTCAGCTTTTGTACAAAAATTAACACAAGCCACTCAGGTAGTCATTTTACATGCATCTATTATAACATCTATTATAATGAGATACCCACATAGAAACAGACACACCAAAATAAGCGACAGCACTACTCCACCTAGCGGCCTTGGCTCAACCCCACACTTCCTTTTTTAATGGTGGTTATGACTATGACTTTATTTCCACTTACTATAGTATGCTACAGAAAACAAAAGGCTTCCAGAAACCTTGTACCACAACAAAATTATAGTCATATGAAAGAAAAAACAACTATCTACCATAATTTGTTGAATTTCTAGGGACTCCTATCTAAGGCAGAGTATCATCACTCAGTAAACTGCACATAAATTTTGCTTTGACTCACAGTACCCAGTCCCCAAGCAAACAGCATATAAACATTGGAGAAGCAGAAGATGAATGTACAATCATGTTCCTAGTACATAGTAAAACATGTACTTGCATACACCTTAATAACCGTTTTGACACATAAACCTTAGCACCAGCAGCTCTCCCACAAGCACCTCAGAAGACAAAAATGTATACAAAATTGAAAATAAAGCTGCATTGAAAGTTGAAAATAAAACAAGTATTAATTTTCTCCCTTGGAGATACTATTATAAAAGCATGGGCTTTAAGACTGTACCAGACAAGTTGTTTTACTTTCAAAAGAGGTCACTAGCACAATGCCAAAGCTGATCATTAGCAATCTTGAAATTTGATTTATACGACTTCCCACTCTGCATGCACAATTCCTACTTATAGGAACAAACCCACATACTGAACACTCAAGACCAGATTCCAAGTCAGGCACAGAAATGAGGAAAACCTACAGCATCTTTCATCTATTGAAAAGAAGTTAACTATGAGAAAGTCACCGTGAAAAGGCCGATGGAAACACAGACTGCTGGTAAACAAGACAAAGTTATACACCTCACATCACAAAAGGAGAAAGTGAGAAATCCTGCTGCATATTAACTTCACCCCATACTTTAAGTACGATGCCATTTGTAGATTTTGTTCTTTATGAAGTGTCAAGCAACTACTCACTTTTTTCTTTCTTCTCTCCATCTAGCAATCTCTTCTGGACTATCTAATTTTATTCTTTTAGCACCAGGTCCATGTACCTAAGGAAGAAATTAAGAGGTGTTTCAAAGCCAGAAGGAGGAGCAGAAAAAAAAAAACAGAAGAAAAAAGGGTACTGCACTTCATCTCCAATCATGCTGAGACTGCACATAGCAAATACATTAAAATCCATTAAGATATAGTACTGAACATTTATACCTACAAGATTTTTTTTTTAATAACAGATTCAACTCACAGAATCACAGAATGGCCCGGGTTGGAAGGGACCTCAAGGATCATGAATCTCCAACCCCCCTGCCACATGCAGGGCCACCAACCTCCACATTCAATACTAGACCAGGCTGCCCAGGGCCCCATCCAGTCTGGCCTTGAACACCTCCATGTATGGGGCATCCACAACCTCTCTGGGCAGCCTGTTCCAGTACCTCACCACTCTCTCTGTAAAGAACTTAATTAGAACTTACTCAGACATGATGTTTTAATTTCAGAAGAATGAAAAAAAAAAAAAAAAAGGGAGAATCATAGAACAGCCTGGGTTGAAAAGGACCAAAATGATCATCTAATTTCAACCCTCCTGCTACATGAAGACAGCAAAGATTAATATTCTGGGAGACAGCTGGGATACCTACGTTTTTCCAGTGTATCTGAACTAACTTCTCATGTGCATTGAAATTGCATCCTTCTTCTGTGCACTGCAAGATAAAGGGAGTGAACTTCAGGCATATCACATTATACAAGAAAATTACAACAAACATTTATTTACAAGTCAAATTCCAGATGATTATACAGCTGATGGCACAGAGTTTAAGCAGTACAGTTTTAAAACAAACATAACTGCAAAAGAATTAGGATTAATGTACTTTTAAGTTCTATCTGATTTTTGTACAGTTAGTGAAGGCAACACGCTTCATAATCAGAGATAACAATGGAAAGCTGATAGAAAGATTTGTGAGGCTATCCAATTTCAAATTGTGTTACTTCTTTGCAGTAAAGGAATGCATTTTTAAAATCTCTTCCATATAAAGCATTTTCACACATTTTATGTGCTACACTGATGTCAGTGAAGTTACTCATAGCGCTGGGGTAAATTAGCAACAATTCAGAAGAACATTGAAATGACTTGAGCAATAAAACCAAAAATACAACTGAAAGCTTCCTTACATACAGCATTCCAAAAAGATCTCCTACCAGCTCAGGAATCCATTGCTAGGCCTACCATCATAAGAGTGACTACAGTTATCTGTTCATATATGAAACTAGAAATTGAAATAAAAAGCAAGCAAAGTTCAACCTGCGTATGTTGTGAAATATGTTCATCATACTTCTCCTGGTTTTTATAGCCTCGGTCACAGGTATCACAATAGTGAGAGAAAACTGGCTCCTTCTTCTTTTTGTTCTAAGAGAAAGAAAAAAAAAAATTCTAGCATAGCAGTTAAAAGATTACCCTGCTTAATTAGATAGGAAATAAATATTTTGTTAATACCTCAAATAAAACATTCCAAACAATCTAAATTAACAGAGCTAAAATTCACATAATTCATTTTCTAAACAAAATGCACTGCACTCAGTTCTTTCTTCTACCACCCTTCTATCAGTTATCACTTCTGCAGACACAGACTTAGCAGCAGCTTGGAGAAGAGCCAGGGCAACAGCTCCACGCCTCCTCCCCATACAGTCAGTCTACACCTGTTCTCATGTGACAGGTAGAAGCTCAGGAGGCAGTAAAGACCCTTCCCTCTCCCACCATTACAGCAGAGTGATGAGGTTGCCAGGGTCTGAAAACATAATGGACAACTAAAGCGATCTATGTAACTGGGCATCATCACTTTTATTGAGATTATGCATTTCAGGATTTGATTCCTTCATTGAGCTCAGGGTTTGGGGCCGATTCATAGAAAAGCTTCAGTTGGAAGGAACCTTAAAGCCCAACCAGTTCCAACCTCCTGCAGGGCTGCCACCCAACAGCTCAGCTGCCCAGGGTCCCATCCAACCTGGCATTACGCACCTCTAGGGATGGGGCACCCACAGCTTCTCTGGGCAGACTGTGTCAGTGCCTCACCATCCCTAAGCAGATAATTTTTTCCTTATACTTAAGAGGGTAGATATAGACGAGATTGAAACTGCTACCTCTTGTCCTCTCACGCTTTCTGATGAATATGATGAATATCCCCTCCCTAACTTCCCTATATACCCCCTTTAAGTACCAGAAGACCACAATAAGGCTCCTTGAGAACCTCCACTTATCATAGAACAGTCTGGGTTGGAAGGGATCCCAAGAATCAAGTTCCAACTCCCGTGCTGTAGCCAGGGCCACCAATCTCCAGATCTGGCACTAGACCAGGGCCCCATCCAACCTGGTCTTGAACACCTCCAGGGACGGAGCATCCACAGCCTCTCTGGGCAGCCTGTTCCAGCACCTCACCACTCTCTCTGTAAAGAACTTCCCCTTGACATCCAAGAAGAGCAAGCCTGGCTTTCTCTTCCTTACTTTATAGGAGAAGCGCTCCAGCCTCATCCCAGTGGTCTCTTCTACACTCACTCCAACATCCATCACCCTGGATACAAACTGCAGGTGAAGCTTCACATGGACAGTGCAGAGAGGAAGAATCACCTCCTCAATCACCCAAGGGCACCACACTTATTTTGCTTGTCCTGTACATTCAATCTCAAAAGGGCAGCAGCATTAGTCAAGAGCAAAATGGCTCCACAGCAACAAAAGCTATACAGGGCCAACTCCATCCCAACATCGCAGAACAGTTATCACAAAAAGGGAACATTGAAGGCCACACGGCCCAATTCAGCATCTGTACCTTCTGCCTGTTGTTTCCACCTGGAGAACGCTTATGAAACCCAGGCGCTTGCTCTCCTTGCCATTCCTGGGGAAAATGGCCATTTCCACCTTAAAAAAAAAAAAAAAAAAAAGCCACATAACAAAGCAGTCGGTTTCAGTTGCTGCAGCCGATGAGTCCCACACGCACGACCAGGTGGGGAGCGAGGGAAAGGGGCCATGCAGACTCAAGTCGGGGCTGGAGGATCAGGGAACGAGACTGGGGGCAGCACCAGAGGGGAAGAGAAGTGAAAAGAAGAGAAGAAGGCGGCAGGACACCCTTTCCCCCGCTCACCACCGTGCGGCCGCCGCAGGGGCTCCTGATAGGCCGGCGGGTACCATGCCGGCGGCGGGGCGTAGCCGTCGGGCGGCGGCCAGAAGCCGTGCTCCCAAGGGGGCGGCGGGCAAAAGAGGGGCGGGCGGAGCGGCGGCGGGAACCAGCCGAAGGGACTCACGGTGGAGCCCAGCTCGCCGCCCGGCTGCATGCCCGCCGCGTGAGGAGCCGCACAGCGGGCCGGCCGCTACAAAACGCGTCACTTCCGGTTTCTGGCTTCTCCTTCCGGGGTTAAACCCTCCCAGGCCGGCGCCGCTCTGACGTCATCGGCGCGGCGCCGCCCCTCACCATGGCGCGCGAGCTGATCGGCCCCGCGCTGCCGCCCGGCTTCCCGCGCCGCGCCGAGGAGGACCCGGATGAGGAGCTGAGCCAGGGTGAGGCGCCGCGCTGAGGGGAGGGGGCGGCACCGCCCGCGCGGGGCGTGGGGCGGGCGCGGGCTGCGTGGGGCCGTCCTGCTGTGCCGAACCGTCGTAACAGCTACCAGAAGGGCGAGTCAGAGCGGCAGTACGAGGGTGGCCCCTCCGGGCAGCAGTGAAAGACGCATTTCAGTCAGACCCACCTCCGCTTCATGCTTTGCTTCTTCTCTCGCTCGCCTTCATCCATTGCTCTTCGTTTCTTTCACTAAGTGACTCTTCTTTCCCCCACCCCCAGCCTATAAATGCCCGTTTTCTTCCCGAACCAGGCTCTTTATTTTGGATGCAGTTCCAAGTACAAGCAGCTTTTTCAGGACACTGCTGGTTTTTGCTGTGTCGTCTTTATGTCTGCTCAATTCCCTGATCTGCCTTGTTGCACAGCCCACACACGCTTGCTCTCTGGCATGGCAGAGAGAACAGTGGGAAGGAATTGGGGTAGAAAGTGAGGTGCTGGAACAGGCTGCCCAGAGAGGTTGTGGATGCCCCATCCCTGGAGGTGTTCAAGCTCAGGTTGGATGGGGCCCTGGGCAGCCTGGTCTGGTATTAAATGTGGAGGTTGGTGGCCCTGCCTGTGGCAGGGGGGTTGGAGCTTTATAATCCTTGAGGTCCCTTCCAACCCGGGCCATTCTGTGATTCTGTGAAAGCACTGGTGTTTGTCAACGTGTCACTGGGACCAGCCTCCTCCTTACACAGCACTGGTTTCCGTGTTCTTTCTGGCTCACAAAACCGTGTCCCATTTCTCAGCTTGCATCCATTTGCTCCATCCAACTCCTGCCTCTGTTCAGACCAAATGATGCTTTGCTTCGTTTACTGGAGAAAGAAGTTGTAATGTTTTATTTGTTTGTTTGTCTTCTTAATACCTTGTGTTAAGTGTTTGTTTTTTTTTTTTTCCTCAGGCCACATCTTCTTGAGCCTTTATGGCTATTTATTATTCATCTGTTGGTTCTCTCTTTGAGCTTTATAGGCTAGGCTGGGTTGTTTTCTTTTTTTGTTTTTTTTTTTTTTGTCATAGAATCAAAAATTGTTTGAGTTGGAAGGGGCCTTTAAAGGCCACCTAGTCCAACTCCTCTGCAATGAACAAGGACACCTACAGCTAAATCAGGTGCTCAGCTTTGCCTTGAATGTCTCCAGGGAGGGGGCAACCTGTTCTAGTGCCCCACCACCCATATTGTAAAAAAAAACTTTTTTTTGTATCCAATCTAAATCTCCCCTCTTTCAGTTTGAAACCATTTTCCCATCTCCTATCACAACATTCCTCTGCTAAGGAATCTGTCCCCTTCTTTCTTACAGTCCCCTTTAGATATTGAAAGGCTGCTCTCAGGTCATCTCAGAGCCTTCTCTTCTCCAAGCTGAACAGCCCCAGCTCTTTCAGCCTGTCCCCATTAGGAGAAGCATTCTATCTCTCAGATCACTTTTGTGGCCCTCTTCTGGACTCAATCCAGTGGGTTCACAGCTTTCCTGTACTGAGGACTCCACATCTGGACGCAGTACTCCAGGTGAGGTCACACCAGCACAGAGCAGAGGGGCAGGATCACAGGATCACCTCCTTCGCCCTGCTGGCCACGCTATGTTTGCTGCAGCCCAAGATATAGTTGGCTTTCTGGGCTGTGATGGCACATTGTTGGCTCGTTTCCAGCTTCTCATCCACCAGTACCCCCGGGTCCTTTTCAGCAGGACTGTGCTCTACCCTTACATCCTCCACCTGATAGTGGGGTGCCACTACCCAGGTGCAAGACCTTGCACTTGGCTTTGCTGAACCTCATGAGGTTCTTCTGGACTCACTGCTCAAGCCTGTCTAGGTCTCTCTGAATGTCATTCTGTCCCTCCAGCATGTCACCTGCACCACACAGCTTGGTGTCACCTGGAAACTTGCTGAGAGTGCACTCAATCCCACTGCTGATGTCATTGATAATGATATTAAAGAGCACTGGTCCCAGTACTGACCCCTGAGAGACACCACTCATCACCAATCTCCATCCAGACATTGAGACATAGGCCACCACTCTGGGTACAAATTTACCACCGGTTTGTCGTCCATTGAACAGTTTTGTTTGCTTTGTTAGTTGTTTTGTTTTGTTTTGTTTCATTTGTTTTTCATTCTTAGCAATGACATGTATTTGTACGTCCTGGCTAAGGTCCATCCCATGAAATCAGAAAACAATGTGGCTGATCTATCTGGATACATCATAACTAGGGAACTGTCCTGCCTCTGTGTTTTTTGCTAAAGACAGATAAAAGCTTTCTAAAGCTCATCTGAAGGTCTCAATTTCTGCCTTGCTTTTTCTTAGCTAACAATGGAATATCAGTCTGCATCAGGTATTATTTTGTGCCATCAAATGAAAAAAAATCTTAGTTAAAGATGTAATTTTCTGTTACCCTCCTTTTTGGTGGTTTACTGCACCTTGTCTTTTCATTCAATCCTTGACTATTCATATAGTTAACAATGCCTTTTACCAAACAGCTTTTTGTCCTGTCAGTCTCAGCTTCAGTGCTTGAAATATCAAGAGGAGGAATGGTGTGTACATGGCAGAGTTAAATCACCAGCATGGTCACATCTCCATGGTGTCAGGTTGTTGTTGGTGCTGTACAGAACCGTGCTGGCCCTGCGTGGGCTGCCCTGGGTCTAGGAAGCCTCTGAGAGTACCTGTATCAAGACTCTTGTCTGGAGGGCATTTGTTATGAGGGTCAGACCAATATACATGTACAGTATGCAAGCAGGAGCTGTGCTTACTGGTGATAGTTGCTGGAGACAGCTGTTAGCAGCGTTAGTGCTTGAACCTGCCCTTTACTGGGATGTCTCGTCCTCCTCTTTACTCTTTTTTTGAGTAAAGTGCTGGCTGGAGGAAGAGAGCCTTCTGACAGATGTCTAGAAGCCTGAGGCATCCCTTTTTCAGCAGCATGATGAGCTCTGTGCCTGCTGTTCACGCATCATCAGACTGGGAATAACCTCCAGGGAGACAGGTGTTTGAGGAGTATCAAGACAGATAGCACTCATTTGAAATTTGTGGATGCCCCATCCCTGCAGGCATTCAAGGCCAGGCTGGATGTGGCTCTGGGCAGCCTGGTCTGGTGGTTGGCGACCCTGCACATAGCAGGGGGTTGAAACTACATGATCATTGTGATCCTTTTCAACCCAGGCCATTCTATGATTCTATGATTCTCTGAAATGTTTAACAAATATCCCCTGTAACTTTGGGTGCTCAGTTGCAGGACCAGCACTGCCCCCTGACTACAGAAGCAGCAGCAGCTCAGAAGCTCCTGACAGTGACGACGATTCTGAATCTCTTCCTCTGCCTAGAGACACAGGTGGAGATTCTGGAGAGGATTCAGAAGGAGCTTCACAACCCAAGTGAGTCTGTTCTCAGGTTGTGTCTTTACGTTGTTGCAGAAATTGCAATTGAAATGTCTGTATATAATGTGAGAAACAGCGTTACATAAGCAAAAGGTAAACTGTACTTAAAATTTGGTGCTGTGCTTTCCATATTTGTAGAACCACAGAATCACGGGATGGTTGGGTTGGAAGGAACCTCAAAGCCTGTCCAGTTCCAACCCCCTGCCCTGGGCAGTGCCACCCAGCAGCTCAGGCTTCCCAGGGCCTCATCCAACCTGGCCTTGAGTGCCTCCAGGGATGGGGCACCCACAGCTTCTCTGGGCAGCTGTGCCAATGGCTCACCACCCCTTGAGCAAAATATCTCTTAACATCTAATCTAAATCTCCTCTCCTTTATTTTTAAACCATTCTCCCAGTCGTTGGGGTCAAGAAAAGTCAACTCACCTGTCTGACTCCTTAGGATAGAACTAAGCATTTTAGAGAAATTTGATCTGTGTATTTTCACATCTGAGTTTCATTTTACAATTTAAGCAATAAATCCCCTAATTTGCTGAGGAGAGACTTCTTATAATCCCTGTAAGTTATTTGGTACATAAGTTTGACCCCATTTCTAGCATACTGTCTCATTTGATCATAAGAACTGTTTATTTATGGGTATGAATTTATGTACTCAGTTAAACCAACTAGAATGAAAATTGTTTAGTAAGTAGCAGAAGCTTGCACATACTTCTTGTCTGTCTGGTTAATCACTCACAGTTGCTGTGCTGAGAACTTGGTGTTTCTGTTTGGCCTTGTGTAAGAGACTTGAAGAATGTTGTGCTGAATTTGTGTGTTAGGGTAAATATTACTCACTTTTCTCCTGTTGTCTTACTCAACAGCTTTTCAGTTTGGTTGAACTGAACTGTGAAAGATAGTCAAAATGCAGACAGCTGTATACAATTGCAGAAAGAACTGTGCTGAATATTTACTTTGTAAATAGAAATATTATTTTAACATCATATTAGTCTTCTTTCTCCTGCAAAAGCACTCCTAAGTTTTTGTTGTTTTGTTGGTTCTTTTTTTGCCTAAATGTCAAAGCATTTCTGAAGCAAAGCTTACTCTCCCAAATTTTTAATTGCTTCAAATTATTTTGGATCCTTTTGCACTGTTTCCGTGGTAACGGCAAGCTATTTAGTACACAAGACTGTCTGAAATCAATTTATGTTTTATCTTTTCCTTTTTTAAAATGTAGATAATTGCTCTGCATGTCAAAGTAATTATTAACTGAAGTCTTTATCTTTGCAGGAAGCCAAAAAGAATTCAGGAAAATGATGATGATGATGATGGCTTTTTTGGGCCTGCTCTTCCTCCTGGATTTAAAAAAGAGGATGATTCCCCAGAGAGGTAATTAAAATGGAATTATGTTCAGGCTCTTTTTCTTAAAAGATAATTATTTTAGATACAATATTTTGTGTCCCT